CTTGGCACGCGCCCTCCGACCGGGAGTATAAGTACGCCTGGTGCTTGTGTTCTTTGACGTAGTGTAGCTGCAGCATGAGCTCGATCTTGCGGAACCATGGAATCGGATCGGTCTTCGTCGAGTCACAGAAGATCTCCTGCCCGTCGAACTTTGGAGCTGTCTCGCGCGGTTCCGAGCTCGAGTGGTTGGTGGCAGTACAAATCCGCTGCTCCAACTGTTGCGTTCCGGTTTGCTGTAACTGCACACCGTCCTTGAGGGAGCTAGCGTCAATCTCCAATGCTTCGAGGCGATCGGAGGTGTTGGAAGAGCTGGCATCGGGGGCAGCGACAGGTCGCTGCTCCAGCTGCTAGAGGCGGTTGTGGACTTGAGTCACCGCGCCGAGGTTGTGGATGTCCTCCTGCTGTGTAATGCATGTTGCGAGGAGGTCCGTGAGATGGGAGAGGAGTAGAGCAATCTTGTTTTCGCTATCTTCCATCTTCTCATTCTCGGCCTCGGCCCGCCAATCCGCTGCCATTGTGAGCAAAGCTTGCTCTCGGCTAAATATCTTCTCACGACGTTGAACTCGTTCTTCATCAGCAGCCTTTGCTGCTGCCTCGTCGTGTTGGCGTTGCTGTTCAATTGTCAGCAGACGTGCCTTCTAGGCGTCCTCTGCCTTCTTCTTCGCTGAGGTTGCTACGTCATCCGCCCGTCTCTTGGTTTCGGTACTCCAGGCCAACATCCGGGCCTGATAGGCCTCATCTGTTTCCTCGGACTTCTGGTCCATGACAGCTGTTTGTGAACGCAAAAGCATAGACCAGGCCGGGGGCCTGCTGACGTGGTACTGCTGTCAGCTGACGTGGCACTGATGTTGGCTGACGTGGCACTGCTGTCGGCTGACGTGGCCTGTTGACGTGTCTTGTTGGCGTGGTCCGCTGACGTGGTCCGCTGACGTGGCCTGCTGACGTGGCAACTCACCAATGTCGCTGCAGGGGGTACCCGGAGACAGATAGAGAAGGTAAGACCAGAGGTGGCAACAACATAGGTGGGAGGGGTGGGTGGGATAATCGCCCAGATAACACCCAGATAAGGAGCCACTAATCAAAAAGAAAAGTTTGAACTTTGCAAAAAAAAAATTGAGAAAAATAAAAATCCCGAGTTTTGCAAGTTCAGTAGGTCTCCCAACCTCCCTTGAAGTGCGAACGTATCAATGAGAACAAATTTTCGAACTTTAGACTGCCAATGATTATCAGGTAGTGAAAATCATAGAACTGCGAAAAGAAAAAAAAAATCCGAAGGTCTTTCTGAGGACCGACTGCGCCGACGGGTTAGCGCATGACGGGAGCGTCATACGGGCGCTCCTCCGGAGACTTGTGGTGACGTGCGTTGACTACGGACGCACGTTGACTGGGGACGTGCGTTGACGTGCGTCGTGTGCCACGCTGTGTGATGCGGGGCGCGCCGAACACGACGGCAGACGCGAAGAACGCATTGGGGGAAGCGACGAGAGAGAGAGGGAGAGCGGGAAGAGAGAGAGAGAGAGAGAGAGAGAGAGAGAGAGAGAGAGAGAGAGAGAGAGAGAGAGAGAGAGAGAGAGAGAGAGAGAGAGAGAGAGA